TTCTTTTTACTAATATTGTTTTGGTATTTTAGGTCCTTTGCATTATCATGTAAATTTTAGAATCAGTTTGTCAATTAAAAAAAAATCTGCTGGGATTTTGACTGGGATTATGTTGAATGTATACATTAATTTGGAAAGAATTAGCACCTTAATAATATAGAGTCTTCCAGTCCATGAAAATGTTATTTCTCTTCATTTATTTAGGTCTTCTTTAATTTCTCCCAGTATTTTATAGTTTTTATTCTATAGCTCTTGCATGTATTTTCGTAAATTTATTACTGAGTATTTAATCTTTCTTGACATAAATTGTAAATGGTATTTTTAAAAAATGTCATTTTCCAGTTGTTCACTGCTAGTATGTGAGAATTGTTTTTTTGCATATTGACCTTGTATCCTATGACATTACTAAATTTGTAAGTTCTAATAGCTTTTTGTAGATTTGTGATTTTAAATATATATCCTATCATGTAGTCAGCAGATAAAGATAGTTTTACTTCTTCCATTCCAAACTGAGTGTTGTTTCATTTTCTTGCCTATTGCACTGGCTAAGCCTTCTATAGAGCAGAGTAAACATCCTTGCTTTACTCCCTGTCTTGAGGGGGAAAGAATCCAGTCTTTAATCATCAAGTATGATATTTTTGTTGATTTTACATGAATGCCAATTATCAGGTTAAGTTCCCTTCTATTTATAATTTGTTGAACTATTAAAAATGCATTTTGTGCACATCTATTGAGATGATCATAGAATATTTCTCCTTTAATTTTTTTGGTGCATCACATTGATTTTTTAAAATATTTATTTATTTGTTTGGTTGCACCAGGTCTTAGTTGAGGCAGGCGGGCTCCTTAGTTGCAGTATGTGGACTCCTTAGTTATGGCAGGTGGGCTCCCTAGTTGTGGCCTGCAAACTCTTAGTTGCGGCATGCATGTGGGATCTAGTTTCCTGACCAGGGATTGAACCCAGGCTCACTGCATTGGGAGCGTGAAGTCTTATCCACTGTGCCACCAGGGAAGTCCCCATCACGTTGATTTTTTGAATGTCAAACCAGTCTTTGATTTCTGGGATAAATCTCACTTGGTCATTATGGATAATCTTTTTATATATTGCTGGACTTTTTTTAAAACAATTTATTTTTGGCTGCGTTGGGTCTTTGTTGCTGCGCGTGGGCTTTCTCTAGTTGAGGCGAGTGGGGGCTCCTCTTCCTTGCGGTGTGCGGGCTTCTCATTGCAGTGACTTCTCTTGTTGCAGAGCACGGGCTCCTGGCGCGCGGGCTTCAGTAGTTGTGGCAGGCAGGCTCAGTAGTTGTGGCTTGTGGGCTCAGTGGTTGTGGCTCGTGGGCTCTAGAGCTCAGGCTCAGTAGTTGTGGTGCATGGGCTTAGTTGCTCCGCAGCATGTGGGATCTTCCCAGACCAGGGCTCGAACCTGTGTCCCCTGCATTGGCAGCTGGATTCTTCACCACTGCGCCACCAGGTAAGTCCTATATTGCTGGATTTTATTTGATAATATTTTGGTAGGGACTTGTGAATCTATGTTCATGAGGGATATTGCTTTTATTTATTTTATTCATTGTAGTTTTCTTGCAATAGTGTTGGGGATAGGATGATGCTAGCCTGATAACAGGAGTTGAGAAGTATTCCCTGCTTATCTATTTTTCTGAAGTAGTTTTTGTAATTTTGATATAATTTCCTTTTTAAGTATATGATAGAATACAGCAATGGAGCCATCTGGGCTTGGAGTTTTCTTTGTGGCAATGTTTTTACTTATAAATATGGTTTATTTAATAGATTTATTTAATATGATTTATTTAATAGACACAGAGCTGTGATTTTTGAACCACAGCCTCTCTGGTTCAACTTCTTAACAAATTAAACGTGTCCCCTATAACTTTGTTTTTAAGGTGTTTTAGCCTTTTAATTTTCCCTTCTCTTGTCCTTTAGTTTATATACTGAAATTTCAGGTATGGGGAAGTATTTCATGAAAAGCCTGAAATTTCTCAATCCATAACATGGAAAGAAGTTTCTAACAGGTATGTGGGGCTTTGGTTACAAGAAAAAACAATGCAAACACCTGTTAAATACTCTGTTCTGAAATATGCAGAAAACACAGTTGACCAGACCTAATCTCACTATTGCCAGATTCAGTGCATTTCTATAACCTCTTATCTGCCCTCATGTTAGCTATTCAACAGCATTCAAGTCAAGTGGCCATTCCCTCTTCCTTAAACCTCCTTTTTCTCTTGTCTTCTCCTACATCATTGACTCCTACTAGTGCCTTCTCATCTAAATGATCTCTAAATATTGGAGTGGCCTTATTTATTCTTTATCTTTGTCTGTCACCCTGTCCCAAGGCTCTAAATATCATTTAAATGCTGTTGACTCCCAAACTTTCCAATCTTGCTTTTCCTTTGAACTCCAGATGCCTACTTTACATGTACATTTCAATATCAAATAGGCTTCTCAATAGAAGGAATTCTTTTATCCCTTCCCTTGTATCCCCCAACTTGTAAAGGCTACCACTGTCTCCTTAGTTCCTCACACAAAAACCTTGATTCTTGTTTTCTTTATTCCTACACATCCTACTAATCAGCAGATTCCATGAGTTCAATCTAAATATGCCTTCAATCCATCCACTCCTTTTTATCTCCAAGCAGCCGTCTTCTCTTAATCTTGCTGTAGTCACCCAACTGATCTCTTTTGCTGTCATTCTTGTAACCCATTCTTCACATAGCTGATAGGGAAATCTTTAAAAAATATAATCTTTCCAGTGACTTTCTGTTGCACTTAGAATATAGTAAACTTCATGACCATGGCCTAAAAGGACCTTTATTCTAAGTGCAGTGACTTTCTGTTGCACTTAGAATATAGTCAATTTCATGACCATGGCCCCTATACCTTCCTTTCTAATCTCACGTTAACTTGGCCTTAGAGAATCATTGTAGGCAAAATAGCTTGGTTTTAATGTCATTCAGAAAAACTTCCTTTGGGAGTATTTATAGGCTAGCATTTTTGTCCTGTTAAACTCTCCTCTTCTATTCAGAGTTTAAAGCATAATAGAATAAGACTTTAAAAGTAATGACAATAACTACATTGAATCTTGGTAATTATGATAATTAACAACTAACCAGATCTTTCAAGATATATTCAGCACTCATTACTGAACATTTGCCAAGCATTGTGCTTAGAACCTGGGCTTCAAAAACATTTAGGGAAAATACTTATCTTGCAGATTTGGGAGACCGGATTTCTCCACCATTCTCTCCCCAGGAAAGGTGAGCTGCTGTCTTTAGCCACTCTGTTCCCATTTCCCATGGGGTGAATGTTGAACACTGTGCACATCCCAGGTCCTCTCTACTTAATCAAATACCTAAACTCCAGGCTCTGTCACTTTGAATAGGATCATATATATAGTATACAGTATCTTATATAAGACTACCCATCTATCACAGTATGGATACAAATACTGTGAAATCATAGGAAAATTAAATAATTCTGATGAATACAAAATGCCCAGTGAAAAAGCATAGAAGAGCAGTCTAAAATTTAAAATATTTTGAATGCAGAATTTATCCCGTGAACTTCTTAATTCCTTCATGTTGTAAGTTGAAATGACTAATTGAGTCATGCTTCCTTATTTCTTTTTATTTTAAATATCTACCATGATTGTTTAATGGCATTTTGAATATTTGGGGGAATTCATTTGTAGTAGAATAATATTTCTTTTCATAATTATCTACTGCTTACAGTAGTTATGAGATGAGCCAGGTAATAGTCCTGAATTTGTAAACAAGACCAGGGGTAACTTTTTTAGGGTCAGATGATAGCCGTCTGAAAGTGGTTTTGAAATAAGAGCTCTGTTTATGGGAGAAAGAAGCCTATTCTTCCTTCTATGGTCCTATGTAAAGAAATTATGTCACAGGGCTTCCCTAATGGCGCAGTGGTTAAGAATCTGCCTGCCAATGCAGGGGACACAGGTTCGAGCCCTGGTCCAGGAAGATCCCATGTGCCATGGAGCAACTAAGCCTGTGTGCTGCAACTGCTGAGCCCGCGTGCCACAATTACTGAAGCCTGTGCACCTAGAGCCCGTGCTCTGCAACAAGAGAAGCCACCACAATGAGAAGACTGCACACCGCAATGAAGAGTAGCCCCCGCTCGCTGCAACTAGAGAAGAGCCCATACGCAGCAACGAAGACCCAACACAGCCAATAATAAATAAATAAATAAATTTATTTAAAAAAAAATTATATAATAGCCCACCCCACTGCCAAACCAGAAACTATGAGGTTTTGGCAGTGGTTCAGCTCACAGATGACTGTTTCCAGGAAGCCTTCCCTAGCCCCAAGCTAAGTTAGTGATACCACAATACTTATGAAAACAGAATCACGTTGTAGTCTTATCACTTGTTGACCATGGGTTTTTTTTAATCTCTGGAACTCTACTCTTTCTTCCTCTGTTCTTTCAATACATGGAGTAGTATAGTGCCTGGCAAATGTGCAGGTGCCCAATACATGTTTGAATGAATGAGTAATGGAATGAATATGGCATGATATGGCATAACATGACATGAATATAGCTAGTGCAAATTAGAATAAATGAAAGATCCAGGTGTTCCCCAAGGAGGAGCAGCTGGGAGAGAGTTCAAGTCTAGTCACAGTTACTAGAAACTCATTCGCTGGGAGAGCAGAGTTAAGGAGCAAGAAATCTAGTCTCCAGAGGGAAACATTTTATAGAAAAATAATATAGAGTGGAAAAAGTATATACTTCCTTCTCAGAGAAACATTTTTCTGTTGGTGAGGGATGGAGGCATTGGGGTATGGAAGAGAAAACCAGGTAAGACACAGAATTATGCAAATAAATGCATTAAGAAGTAAAGATTCATAAACTTGTTTTAGGACAAATTCAGAGTCGTTTTAAAATTAATACATTTTATAGTTATTTAGCAAAATAAGTATTTTTCAATCACAATTTCATGTAAATATTAAAGAATTTTTCCTTTACCTTACCTTCACATGCAGAAGTTGATTGTCAACTGCTATGAGCTGATTAAGATTCTCCAGTATTTCTAAGTCTCTTACATCATCAATATTATTATTGCTGATATTCAATATAGAGAGGGATTTCTGTAAGAAAGGTAACTAAATTAGGGTTAATAAAGTCTAATTAAATACTATATATAGAAACCAGAAATCCTAATCTGTGAAAAATTAAAAATTTATCAGTTCAGGCTGTTTTGCTCTTTAGGCAAGAAAATAAAAATCCTTGGAGATTTTGTTTTTATGTCATACTTTTTTTCAGATGGAATTTTTAGAGCTATATAGTAATTGTAATGTAACTTACTATTTTTGTCTAAAGTTCCTTCGTAAGTCCAATTTCTCTTCCAAGATATAAGAGAAATTTATAGAAAGAAGCCAAGAAAGAAGCAAAGAGAGAACAAAGATATCCCAATAAGCAAATGATAACACAATATAGAAAAAATGCTTATTTCAGTTCAAGCAAATTATCATTTTGTGTTAAATATCACTAAGATTAGGGAGAAATAATTTTTGTTTGTTTGTTTGTTTGGGGGTTTTGTTGGCCACACTGTGTGGCATGTGGGATCTTAGTTCCCAACCAGGGCTTGAACCCGCACGCCATGCATTGGAAGCATGGCGTCTAACCACTGGACCGCCAGGGAAGTCCCTGGGAGAAATAGTTTTTATCTTTATTTTTCTAAATAGGAAACATGACCAAGAATTGAAAGAATATCTGATTTTTATTTTTATGTCTATCTCTCCATATAGTTTTCTCTTGGTAATCCATATGTTCAGAAACCAGTTAAAATAATAATTATCTAATTAACAAGAAGTTCAACATCAGCCGTTAATGAGGACATAAATATACAATAGAGCAATACTAAATCAGAGCCATCTTAAAATCTAAGGCCTGGGATTCTCTACCAAGATGGAGACTACCCACCCAGGTGTCCACACATGGCTAACCTTTAGAGAAGATACTTCCTGATACTTTTTAAGACCTGCTGTACAGCTTAAAAAGTATACCTTGTATTTAGAATTTCAGAATCTACTTGAATCTGCAAAAATGAGCAAGCAAAAACGTTTTCGGTCATTATCTGTAATAAAACTATCCATCTCCACAGTGGCATGAGTCTGCTTGGTTCAGCTGAGGTTGAGCTGAGACACAGTTGTTTCTATGGGATAGTAGGGAGGGTAGGACAGAAATCAGATCACTCCTTTCTTTTTCAATTTATAGCACTACCCCTCAATTGTTATAAATTTTGTTAAAAAAAACCTTCTATTGCCCTCTGTTTTTAGGCCCTCTGAAGTAAAACCAACGAAATCTGTTCCATTTACATCCCTTGCTCCAGAATTGGAAGTAGCATATCCTATCAAATCTCATTTTGAGGATTGGCACCCTCTGGCTCCCTGCTTCTCAACTCATTGTGACACCTCTATGTGATTTGACCTGTTGTCAGGTGACAGCTGGAATCTCTTATCTCTGTTCCCAGTTCTACCTGCTTTGGATGAGGCAGAGCTGTACGTAATGCAACCTATAATCAAATCAGAATCCAGGGAGAAAATGACTTATCATTATAATGATTCTCTAGGTTGTTTAAATTTTTCCAAATAACTGTGCTTTCCTCTTTCCTGAGGCTTTTTTCCTAAAATTTTAAGTTTTGAGTCATCATGATCACACCAAGGTCAAAATAGGAATGAGTTAACATCTGTATTAGAACTTCATACTTTATATAGCCTTTTCGCATCCTTCTTTTGATCCTTCCAGTTACCCTAGGGGCAGGAATTATTATTCCCATTTTATAGCTGCTGAGTCTCTGAGAAATTATTTAGGAAAAATTAGTTTTAGCTCTCAAATTCTCAACTGGCCATATAAACATGCAGAGTATTACAACGTCCAGATATACCTTCCTTTTTTCACTATAAGCATTGATCACTATATTCTTTGTCAGAATACTCAAATTTGGCCTTACTGCCAGAGAATGAAGAGTTCTTGGATCAAACAGGAGCTTTTCTCCAAGGGGAAGCCTCTGACTCTCAACATGAAGCTCTCTTAGTCCTTCTAAGCCTTCTAAGCCTTCTATGACAGCAATGTAGTTGCCTCCCAGATATCTGCAAAATATAAACCATTTTTTTAAATTTATTTTTTTATACAGCAGGTTCTTATTAGTCATCCATTTTATACACCTCAGTGTATACATGTCAATCCCAATCTCCCAGTTCATCACACCACCACCACCATCCCCTGTAAACCATTTTAAAATAGACATTCTGAGAGCATCATGGTCTAGAAGTGATAAAAACATAATAACAAAGTCATGGAGCTATGCGAAAATTATACAGTTGACCATTGAACATTGATGGGGTGTGTGTGGTTAGGGGCGCTGACCTCCATGCAGTGGAAAATCTGCATAAAACTTATAGTGGGGACTCTGTATCTCTGGTTACTTTGCATCTGCAGATTCCACCAACTGTGGATCATGGCTCGTGTAGTCCTGTATTATTTACTATTGGAAAAAATCCATGTGTAAGTGGATCTGCACAGTTCAAACCTATGTTGGTCACGGGTCAACTGTACGTGCAGAATGTTCTCTTTATATTGAATCAATGAAAAGTTTATTTATTTGATTCTTACACTTAATTAAGTCTGAGAAATATTTATTTTTTTGAAGTGAGAGAAATAGTCCTGTCTACCAGTGCTCCTGTTGTGTTGAAGTGCATAGAATCACCTGGGTCATAGGTTTAAAAATGAAGATTTCTGAGCTTAACCTCCAGAGATTCTGATTTGGTTACCTAGGTTGGAACCCAGCAATCTGCATTTTTTAACTGACATATAGTTGATTTACAATATTGTTTTAGTTTCAGGTGTACAGCAAAGTGATTCAGTTATGTATATATATATTTTTCAGATTATTTTTCCATTATGGGTTATTATAAGATATTGAATATAATTCCCTGTGTTACACAGTAAAGCCTTGTTGCTGATCTGTTTTGTATAGCAATCTGAATTTTTAATAAGCGTCTCCCACCCCACTTATTTTCCCCATTCTGAGGCCCTTGACCTGCTTTTTGAGAATCACTGATCGTTCCTCCAATCTGGGGAAATTGTATCCACTGGGCCTCATTGTTTAATTAAAATCATCATAGGTAGTAAATGCCTTTTACAATCAAATCTATATCAACATTATCAGTTCTATGACCCTGCCTTTTTGAGATGTGTGATTCTAAAAGGTACAGAACTCATTTGGGTTCCATGGAAACTTTTTTCACCAGTTGAGCCTAAATAAGCAGGTTTCAGGTATGTATCCCTATAAGCCCTTAAGACAACTCACCCTCCTTCAAAAGAAGTTATCAGGGTTAATAAAACACAAATTGTCAAGTATTACATGTATAACAGTCTATTTAGTACTAATAATACTGCAAAAGAATAAAAATGAGGCAGATAAAGGAAATGCATGAATGCAAAAATATTACTGTAATGATGACAATTACATTACTTAGAAATAAAAGCACTTACAGTTTTTCCAGTTTCTTTAATGACCCGAGGTTCTCTATACATGAAATACAATTGTTTTGTAGGTATAAGTGGGTCAGATTTGTGGCATAATTCAGGTTAGTGATTTGACTAATACAGTTATCATACAAATATAAAACGCTAAGATTTTTGCAAAGAGAGAGGTCTTCCTAAAAGAAAAATAAAAACAGGTGATAATTTCTCCTGAAAACTTGTGTTTTTAAGAAAGTTTTTCACTTAATCATTCTACACATTTCGTTAAGGTTAATATAAAAGAATAGAATTCCTCTGTTCTTAGCACAGTCAAAACGAGACTAGAATGATTACAAAATTAGTTCTAGGTTTTAGTATTCTGTAACCTTATCAATAAAATTGTGTTTATTAGGAAAGATTTTCTCAGGGCAAGCAGTTTTCCTTGGAAGCAATTAGGCTCCTCTGGAAGTTGAAGCATCTAACAAATAATTGCTTCAACATTATGAATCAGGGCTTAATCTTTCTGTAGGATTGGAAATAAATTGGAAATAAATTGGAAATAAACTGAAAAACTACTGGAAGTCATCTAGATATTCAAGAACAATGGATTAATAGAGAAACTATGATAATGCTATTGAAGGGAATACCTTATAGCCATTAATTATCCTTTAATTTCTTTAGCAATATCTTGTAGATCTCATAATAAAATAAAAACAGTATATTCAACATGACCCATTATTGTAAAATTATGTGACTACATGCCTAGAAAAAAGACTGAAAGGACATCACCTAAATGTTAATAGTGGTTTTCTCTGCACGGACGGATTACAAGTCAATTTCTTTCTTTTTATATTTATTTTATATGTATTTATATGTGTTTTTTAAATGAACACCACTTACTTTTGAGGTAAGAAAATAAAGGTATTTTAAAAAGTCTGTCATTTCTTGTGTGGTGGTAGAGTTAGTCTAGAGTAAGTAGGCAAGAGGTAAAGTGAAATTCTGCTCAAAAATATCTCAGCTTTCATTAAGTCAACAAGATTTTTAAAATACAGCCACATCTTAGGAACTGGTTGAATTATTTTAACCAGTTTGCTTTCCTCCTAACAGAGGTCCTCTACATTGAAGGAGCACTGATTGTGAGGAGCCAAAAGTACATTAAATGGAAGCTCTCTGGAGAAAGCTGTCTGTGGTGGTATGATGAGGCAGAGTTCTCTGGGCAATAAAAAGGAAACATGAGGTTTGGGCAGTTAGGGAAAAGGCTCACTTGGAAACTGGAAAGGAATATAGAATGGGAGCTGAAGAAGGTCTCTGCAAAAAAAAAAAACCCTGACTGTCTTAATTGACAATTTTGCCTGGAGCTTTTGTGTTTTTTTCATTCATTCATTCGTTCAGTAAATATTTATTAAAGCACTTAATATGAGTCGGGCACTGTACTGGATAGGGGATTTAGAGTGATGTGAAAAAAAAAAGACATGATCCCTGCCCTCATGTAGCTTATGCTTCCAAGAAAATTTTGCTTATCTGTAGTCTTTAGCATTTTATTGTAGACAATGGATACCAATACAAATGGCCTAAAAGGGTTATTGCTGCCTTTAAAATTTCCCAAATTATAGCCAAAAACTAGCTTAGCACAGAGAAAATTAGCTTAGCACAGAGTATATATCCAAGTTAACATAATCTTGTCTGATATAACTGACATGGTATAACCTACATTTATATAACCAGTCAAATTATGTGCAAAAAAGATGTCACTGTTCATGTTTTGAAATGTGGTACTTACATATAATTCTTAATATTTTGATATGTTAAAAATTCATATTCCAAGGCTTTGGAATTATCCAAAACTAATTATCTTTGAAATTATTCCAGCATATACTTCTAAATCTAGTTTGCTACACTATAAAGAATTTTAGGGGAACATATGTATTTAACACATATATTTAACAATTACAATGGTGTATTTTATAGAGGCTTAATTTTTAAAGTTTAACATCACAAGCAGGAAACTAAAATAAAAACATAATATAAAGCTGACTAATCAAAATATAGTTAAAAAGAAAGTATGCCCTGATACCAGTTTCTAAACTTTACATTGTTAATTATATAAAAAGAGGAAATAATTTCACAGTTCTTACAATTGCATCTATATTTTTGGCTGAAAAATTTATATGAGTTATTTTCTTCAGGTATTGTAAAGTGGTTTCTTCTTTTCGGGATTTAAGATTGCTCTTTTTGGCAATTAGATCCAAGGTCAGTCGAACCATGATTTCTCTATAAATCAAACTCTTGGCAATAGCTCTCTTCTGGTACCATGTTAAGAAGCAGGTTTAGGTATTTTTTTATGCCCAACTTTCTAAAAATTAAAGAAAAAAAGTATTATGTACATAGCAATTTTTTATTATTATTATTCTTTTTTCTTTTTTTTTTTTGCGGTACGCGGGCCTCTCACTGTTGTGGCCTCTCCCGTTGCGGAGCACAGGCTCCGGACACGCAGGCTCAGCGGCCGTGGCTCACGGGCCCAGCTGCTCTGCGGCATGTGGGCTCTTCCCGGACCGGGGCACGAACCCGTGTCTCCTGCATCAGTAGGCAGACTCCCAACCACTGTGCCACCAGGGAAGCCCTAGGAAAAATTATTTTGACTCATTCTGTAATTTTCTTACATAAAACTGTTTGATAAACTAGTTCATAGACATTTTTAGGGATATTTAGTTTTTTTCTAAGTTTATAGCCTTAATTATTTTCATAAAAATATTTAAAACACCAAAATTGATTAAATCACTATACACATTCACTTTTACTTTTAAATCTTTTGCTCTCCCTACTGTTGACTTGTTATTGTGGGCATCTCTTAAAGGATTATTTTTCTTTGAGTTGAAAATACCTCAGTATCATTTAGTGTTCTCACATGAAGAAACTAAGGCCCAGAGATCTGTCTCAAACCACTCAAGTTAGTGACAGTTGAAAATGAGACCAAGTGTTCATATTTATTAGTCTCCCAAGTCAGAACACATGGTATGCAAACCTTGAGCATATTCACAGGACAGTGGTGAAAATACTTAAAAATGGAGCTGGCCTTGACATTTTATGTTACTACAACTGTAATCCAGAAGGAGGCAACATAATGCAGTGTTTCTCAACCCAGACTGCCTGGGTTCAAATTTTGGCTCCACTGCTCACTGGTTAGGCAATCTTGGGCATGTTACCTCAGGTTCTTATAAAAGTAGGATTGGTACCTACTTGCAAGGGATATTGTGAGGATTACATGAGATAATCATGTACAGAGTACCTGGTATATAGGTCAATAAATGTTTGCTGTCATTATGCTACAATTGTTTTGTTCACAGATAACTGTTCATTATTTCACCTGGAATATATTAAGGCTGCTGAATAAGGAAAACATGCTATTAATAAAATATTGCTTTATGTAAGATATCCATATGTGGTCCATAAGTTTGAGATAACCCATTGTTTTCAATCATCCAGAAAGTATAGCTATTTAAGTGATAAATATCCCAGTTTCCCCAATTGTGTTTTATATTCTCTTATTCAATATGTAACCAAAAATACAGTTTAAAATTAAGCATTTTTACTCCAATGTATCTGGAATTTCACCAACCAAACACCTCAATTTGTGTGGTATTCTGGACGTGAAATAAATGCTTAGGAGGAAAAAATGAATTCACTGAAAGATAAATTTGTGTTCTCACTCATTGACATATAATTACCCAGGCTATATTATATAAAATACCCACAATAAAGTATTTTAAGATATAGAATGTATCCTTAGGCTCTTCAGAATGCAAGATATAATCTACAGAATAAAATTATGAAATCTTCATAGATTTTTGAAATTTCCATAAATTCATTATTTTTATAATAAAAATTTAAGCTTATTGTTTACAGATGAAATTTCAAACATGACAAAATAATATTCTGAACAAAGTTTCTAGTTAAGTATAAGTAGCTTTTCTTAATCTGACCTTAAAAATATTTCATGATAAAGAATAACACCACACCCATGAATCCATAGGTCAGCTGAAAATATAAAACATTACAAATACATTTGAACCCCTCTATATCTTTCTCTTGCTCCATTCTCAAATTTAGGGTTTATTCTAAATTTAGACATCCCTATTCGTGTCTTTATACTTTTGCTATAGATATGTGTGTATCTAAACAATATATGGTATCGTTTTTTACATTTTTACAGTCATAAATGGTATTATTTTGATTCCAACTTTCTTTTTTAAAAATATTTTGGTTGTGAGAATCATCAGAGTTGATGTGTATTAGCTCTAGGAAATATGCACTGCTGTATAAAATCCTATTGTAAGAAATGTATTTCTTCTGATGATAGATTTTTTTGTGTTTTAATTCTTTGCTTTTGCAGTGTTGCTTTTATGGTTCTTGTATATACAACATCTTTAGCACATGTGCAAGAGCTTCTTTAAGGTTTAAAACTAAGGATGGCTTTTCCTGACATTTTCAGCGTTACTGTATATTGCCAAATTGTTCTCCAAAGAATTTTACCACTGGCAGTTAAGAGAGTTTCTGTTGCTCTACAATGTGGTTTACACCACTGTCAACCTTGATATTTGCAGTTTTTAACTTTTTGCCAATCTGATGGGTGTGATATATCTCATTGTTTTTCTTTTCTTAGAGATTTTTATTTATAAAAATGAAACAAAAATGGATTTGAATTTGCCATTCGATGAGAGTCTTTTCCTGTTATTGACCATGTGGAATTCCTTTTCTGTTAATTGTGGTTTCTTATATTTTGCCTATTTTTCCTTTTGGGTTCTGTTTCTATAAATAATTTGTAGATACGTGTGTATTTCTATCAGATACTAATATTTTATTGATTTTATAGTAGCAAATATCTATTTCCAAGCTGTAGCTTGTCTTTTCTCCTTGATTTTTCAGTTTGGTTTTAATGGCATCTTATAAAAAGTGGAAGCCGTATTTTTTAATATAGTAAAATGTATCAAGAAATTTTTTGCTCATGTTTTAAGCTTTTTGTAGCTTATTACGTAACTCCTTCCCTATCCTAATTTTAAGAGAAAGACCTATATTTTCTTCTAAATATATTAAAGTTTTGCTTTGCACGTTTTGGTCTTAATCTAGAATTGATTAATGTATAAGAAGTGAGATAGAGACTTAATTTTATTTTTTTCTTATGGAGAACCAATTATCCCAGCATATATGCATGGTTCATTTCTCTTCTATCGATTTATGTATCTATCCCCAGGTCAACCCTGTCTAAATTAGTACAGCTTAATAATATCGCTCCACCTTGGTTAGTCTTGGTTCTTAACTCTTTTTTATTTTCCAATTTTTTTATTGTGGTAAAATATAAAATTCACCATCTTAACCATGTTATAAGTGTACAGTTCAGTTTTACTAAGTACATTTATAATATTATACAACCATTGCCACAATCTATCTCCAGTATTCTTTTCACCTTGCAAAACTGAAATTCTATCCCTGTTAAACAATAATTCTCCATTCTCCCTCCTCCCCCCTGGCCCAGGTAACCACCATTCTATTTTGTCTCTATGATTTTGATGACTCTAAGAACCTCATATAAGTAGAATAATATTTTATTTTTGTGACTAAGTTTATTTCACTTAGCATAATGTGCTCAAGGTTCATCCTTATTGTAGCATAAGTCAGAATTTCCTTCCTTTTTATGATTGAATAATATTCCATTGTATGTATTTACCAGATTTTGCTTACCATTCACCCATCTGTGGACATTTGGGTTGCTTCCATGTTTTAGCTATTGTGAATAATGCTGCTGTGAACATGGTGTACAAATATCTCTTCGAGACTGTGTTTTCAATTCTTTTTGGTATATATACAGAAACAGAATTGCTGGGTCTTATGGTAATTCTACTTCTAATTTTCTGAGTAACTGCTGTATTGTTTTCCACAGTGGCTTTACCATTTAACATTCCAACCAACAGTGCACAAGTGTTCCAATAACTCCACATCCTCGCTAACACTTGTTATTATCTGTATTTTTGATAGTAGCCATCCTAATGGGCATGATGTGGTATCTCATTGTGGTTTTGATATGCATTTCCCTAATGATTAGTGATGTTGAGCATCTTTTCATGTGCTTATTGGCCATTTGTATATCTTCTTTGAAGAAATGTGTATTCAAGTCCTTTGCCCGTTTTTTAATCAGGTTGTTTTCTTGTTAAGTTGTAGACCCCTATCAGGTGTATGATTTGCAAATATTTTCAAGTTCTTTACCCACTTGAGGTTTAAGAGTTCTCTATATATTCTGGATATCAATCCCTTATCAGATATATGACTTGCAAATATTTTTTCCCATTCTCTGTATTGTCTTTTTATTCTGTTGATAGCACAAATTTAAAAAATTTTCATGAACTATAATTTGCCTATTTTTAATTTTGCTGCCTGTGTCAATGATGTCATTTCTAAGAAATCATTGCCAAATCCAGTACTGTGAAGCTTTTGCTCTGTGTTTTCTTGTAAGAGTTTTACAGTTTTAGGCCTTACATTAGGGTCTTTGATCCATTTTGAGTTAATCTGTGTATATGGTGTTAAATAAGGGTCCAACTTCATTCTTTGCATGTGGATATCCAGCTTTCCCAGCCTCATTTGTTGAAATGACTGTCCTTTCCCCATTGAATGGTCTTGACATCCGTGTCAAAAATCATTTGACTGTATATGTCAGGTTTATTTCTACGCTTTCTGTTTTATTCCACTGGTTTATATCTCTGTCTTTATGCCAGTACCATGCTGTTTTGATTACTATAGCTTTGTAGTAATCAGGAAGTACAAGTCCTCTAGCTTTGTTCTTCTTTTTCAAAATTGTTTTGGATATTTGGATCTCTTGAGATTCCTTATGAATTTTAGGATACATTTTTCTATTTCTGCAAAAAAACAAAACAAAAAAAAACAAACCCATCTTTGGGATTTAGATAAGACTTGCATTGAATCTGTAGATCACTTTGGGTATTATTGACATCTTAAACAATATTAAGTCTTCCAGTCCCTGAAGAGGGGATATGTTTTATTTATGTCTTCTTTAAAATTTTTCAACAGTGTTTTGTAGTTTTCAGTGAATAAATCTTTCACCTCTTTGGTTAGTTCCTAGGTGTTTCATTCTTTTTGGTGCTACCGAAAATGGAATTTTTAAAAAATTTCCTTTTCAGGTTGTTCATTGTTTGTGTATAGACACACAACTGGTATTTGTTTGTTGACTTTGTATCCTGATACTTTGCTGGATTCACTTATTGGTTCTAACATTTTTGTGTGTGTGTATGTAGTCTTTAGAGTTTCTACATATAAGATCATATCATCTGCAAACAGAGATAATTT